CGCAGGCCCAGGGAGGGGGGGGGGGGGGATGTCACAGCAGAGGCACGGACCGACTGACCCAACCTAAGGAAGAAACAAATATGGCACCTGGCGGAGCCTAAACCAGGTTAACCCACACAGGGAAGCAGGGTTCAGAGAAGAGTTTGGCCTTACCAATGGTCATTGGCTCATTTAAGTTATTAGCTGTTGTTGTTATTAAAGACCATATCAGACTAGCTAATATTAGCTGGTCAACATAGTGATTATCTGGTCTAAGCCGGTAATTGGCTCATCTAAACTGGTTATTAGCTGGTCAACATGGTGATTAGCAGGTCTAAGACGGTTATTGGCTCATCTAAACTGGTTATTAGCTGGTCAACATGGTGATTAGCAGGTCTAAGTTATCCATTAGCTGGTCTAAACTGGTTATTAGCTGGTCAACAGGGTGATTAGCCAGTCTAAGATGATCATTAGCTGGTAAAAACTGGTCATTAGCTGGTCGACATGGTGATTAGCTGATCTAACATAGTCATTAGTTGGTTTAAACTTGTTATTTGCTGATCAATAAGGTGATTAGCTGGTAATTAGCTAGTCAACATGGTCATTAGCTGATCTAAGATGGTCATTAGCTGGTTTAAACTATTCATTAACTGGTCTAAGATGGTTATCTGGTTTTAACAGGTCATAATCTGGTCATTAGTGCATCATTATTGGTTTTGGAACCTTTCTTTTCTTTTGACCAACTGTCTATAATACCCACAATGCAACTGGAGCGTAACAGCCTGGGGTTGGGGTTGGTTTATGGGGTTCACAGCATAGGCACGGACAGACTGACCCACGGGAAGACCCAATGGTACCAGGCAGAGCCTAAACCAGGTTAACCCCCTGAGAAGCAGGGTTCAGTGAAAAGTTTGGCCTTACCAATGGTTATTACCTTGTTTAAGTTGGTTATTAGCTGGTCGAGATAGTGATTATCTGTTCTAAGATGGTTATTAGCTCATCTGAACTGGTTATTAGCTGGTCAACATGGTGATTAGCAGGTCTAAGATAGTCATTAGCTGGTCTAAACTGGTTATTAGTTGGTCTAACACGGCTATTAGTTGGTCTAAGATAGTCATTATTTGGTTTAAACTTGTTATTAACTGGTCAACAAGGTGATTAGCTGGTCTAAACTGGTTATTAGGTAGTCAGTGCGGTGATTAGCTGGTCTAAGATGGTCATTGGCTCGTCTAAGATGGCCCAAGCTAGTCAGTAGCTGCTCATATGCTGATCTAAGTTGGTCATTAACTAGTGTAAGATAGTCATTATCCTGTCATAATCTGGTCATTAGTTTGTCTAAGATGGTCATTAGCTCATCATTAATGGTCCACCTTGGATCCTATGTTTTGGAACCTTTCTTTTCTATTGACCAACTGTTTATAATACCCACAATGCAACTGGAGGCTCTTCCCCAACACAATAAGCACAGTGTAACAGCCTGGGGTTGGAGGGGGGGTTCACAGCATAGGCACGGACTGACTGACCCAACCATGGGAAGACCCAATGGCACCAGGCGAAGCCTAAACCAGATTAACCCAACACAGAGAAGCAGGGTTCACAGTTTGGCCAAAACCCTCCTCCCACACCAGACAGAGAACTCCGTCTAACATGGATGGGATTCTGGGATAGCAGTTTGACTAGTCATTGTGTCAAAATGGACTACAAAAACACACACACACAAAATTCCTGCTTTCCCCAGAACCCCACAGACATCAGACAGACGGAGAGGGATGGACAGGCAGACGGGACAGATGAAACAAACAGGCACACATGGTGCAGTGGGACCCATGCGGCAGCAGAGGTCAGATACCTTTAGCGTGCTCTGCAGGATGCGGAGATGATGCAGTTTGTCATTTAGCTGTGGATCGTTGCAACGCCGGATGAAAAGGTGTTTGTACTCCAGACGGGTGGAAAGGCGGTGCTCACCAATAGGCGACAGACTGGCACGCTCCAGCGCCCGGTACAAATCACCAAGCGAATCTGCCTGCCCATGGCACTCCTGCTCCCCGCCTGTGGGGGGTGCCACAGAAAGCCAGAGTTAATGAGGGGTGGCTCGACCAGCAAGGCAGAATTTTGAGTGGGATTGGATCAGAAATAAACAGATTGCAACATTTAAACTGTGCATTTTAATGTTCAATCAGGTGTGTAGGCTGGTATTTGTATGCTGATGATGCTCGGCTCATTTATTTAGTTCTTTAGTCTGGGATTGTGAAGGTAGAAAGAGAGAAATGACATAAGACCTGGACGAGAAGTGTCTTTCATCAGGTTGGCATAGATAAATTCTTAATCAGGCTCAGATTTATGTAAATATGGGAACATTTTCTTTCATCGTCTCGGTTTTTATCTGTTATCATTTGAAGAAACGGGTGCTGGGTTTCTCTCCATCTCCGTCTGTCTGCAATGCACACACACATACACACACACACACACACACACACATCTGCCCTTCTCAATGTGTTTAACACTTTCCTGCTTAAAAAAAATCTAGCTTAGAACTGAAGAGGTATTTTGGAACACGTTAGATAGTTTCTAATATTGCCATTACTGATCTGACATGGACTAAACTGTAAATTACCTGGTTTAAGCTGGTCATTAGCATGCCAACATGATAATTATTTGGTCTAAGATGGTCATTAGATGGTCTTTCATGATTTAAGTGGGTAATTTAGCTGGTTTCAGATAGTCTAACATACTCTAAGATGGTCATTAGCTGGTTTAAGCTAGTCTTTTGCTGGTCAACATAATCATTAGCTGGTCTAACATGGTCTAAGCTGATCATTCGCTGGTCTAACAGTCTAAAATGGTCATTAGATGGCCTAAGATGGCCATTCCTGATCTAAGCTGTTTAAGCTGGTCATTTATTGATCATCAGCTGGTCAGCATAATCATTAGCTGGTCTAACATGGTCTAAGCGGATCGTTTGCTGGTCTAACAGTCTAAAATGGTGATAGGATGGTCTAAAATGGTCTAAGATGGGATAGTCATTTGCTGGTCTAAGATGGCCATTCGCTGATCTAAGCTGTCTATTACCTGCTTTAAAGGGTTAGTTCACCCAAAAATGAAAATTAGCCCACAAATCACTCACCCTCAAGTCATCCTAGGTGTATATGTAAAGGTGTATATTAAAAATTTTTGAAAAAATGTGTCTCACATGGCTCCAGGGGGTGAACAAGGGCCTCCTGTAGCGAATCGATGCATTTTTGTAAGAAAAATATCCATATTCAAAACGTAATAATCACTTTAATGTAGCTTGCGCCAACAGTCCTACACGGAAGCAGCTTCGGGCGCATGACGTATGAGTTCAGCGTTGCGCATGCGCTGGCGAGTCTTCTGAAAAGCAACGTTTGTTAACAGGAGCAAAGGAAGCAAAGTTTCCTTACTTTGGCAAAGGAAAACAAGTCTCCTCTTGGCTTATATCGAAATCCTCCGACATTCTTCTTTACAAATCCTCGTTTTGTACTTCTAATAAGTGACC